TCTCCAATTCATGCTTTTGATCCTCCAAATTCTCCATCATCTCTTCACATGTGTTTAATAATTCATAATTTCTTATAATCTCCAAATGAGAAGGAGAGTGTCACATGTCCTGCAAGTTATCAATAATAATAATAATAAATAAATAAATTATTTATTTATGATACCAACTAGCTTGCTTGGTTGTGTTTTTTCAAAAACACTTTTCAGAAAATTCTACGTTCTTATTTTCCGTGTTTTTTTGTTTTTACTGAATTTTTTTAATATTTTAAGCAATTTTTTTTACTTTTTAGACATACCTAACATAAATATATCTAAAAAGTAAAAAATTTGTGAAAAAAAATCTTTTAAAAATTCACTAAATATCAAAAATACAAAAAAAAAAATACTAGAATTCAATATATTTTTTTATTTTTATGTATTTATCAAAATTTTAAAATATTTTTTCACAAATTTTTTATTTTTTAGATATATTTAAGTAAGGTGCATCTAAAAAAGTAAAAAAAATGTTTAAATTTTTAAAAATATTCACTAAAAACAAAAAAACACGAAAACTAAATAATTGAGTTTTCAAAAAATTTAATTCAAAAAACTCAAACCAAACACACTGAACAGTACCCATATTTAAAATCATGAATGGATTAGTATTTTGAAGAAAAAACGTCCTAAGCACTTCTTTCGTAATGTTACTTTTCCTGTTTTTCTAATTCTTAATTTCGTAGAGTCCTTTTACTCCCACAAAGTTGCCTAACTAGTAGAATTGGTGACATCAATGAATAACATGGTCAGAGATACTAATGAGAAGAGAAAAAACAACAACATATTGTTAAACAACAATCAAATGCCACCTAACAAACTACCAAACCAAGTGTTGAGAACCCAACTCCCATATATCCATCTTAACTTCTACTAAAAATAATTTTAAGTTTATTAAGACAGCAAAATACATTAATTTCAGGTAGAGAATCCGTACCCGTTGATTTTGATGTTTGGTAGCTTAAATCATACTTTTTAGTTTATAGAAAAAATTCAAACTGATCTTCATCTTTGTATAGCGCCCACCAATGCCACTCATATTGGGTACCCATTGTTGGGATGTCAAGTTAATTATTTTATAGTTTTAATTTTTAAAATATTATCATATTCATCATATACATTTGTTTTTTTTTTTATAAAATTTATATTTTCAAAATCTATTTGTTACAATCTATTTTAGGTATTAAACTGTTACAAAAATAAAATTCTATACTTTTTTTTTGTTTGTGGAACTGTGAAACTTAGAATTACTGAATTTTAGAAAATAATGTGTTTTATTTACTGGAAGTCAAAAAGTGTATAATATAGAACTATAAAAATTTCATTACCATATGGTTCTGTTTGATTTTTATTTATTTTTTTAATACAAATTTGTTTACATTTTGTTGGGATTGGGTTATAGTTCAAGACTATAAGGGACTGTGATTTTAGAACAATTTGGGGTTTAAAGCATTGAATTGTGAAGATAGAATTTTTAAGAGTTCATCTACATCATGGCCAGGATGATGAATTAGTATCTTGAATTTCATTGAGTCCTCCTACTACAATAATAAGGTAGATGATTTAGTTGCCAATTAACTATTAGAAGCTTCAATATATATCTCATTGGTGGCATCAATAACCTGGTCGGTGATAATAATAAGATGAAGATGAAGATGAACAACAACAATATTGTTAAGGGAACACTACCATATGCACTTTAAAATTAAGAAAAATGTCATAATTTTTAATTTTTTGAGTCATAACTAAACTTAGCATAATACATAACTAAAATAATGTCATAACTAAATAAGAAAATAAGTCACAATTAAAAAAGAAAATGATATAATTAAGAATGCTTATAATATACTCTTTTTAAAGAGATATGTATTAGAATTTTCCTATGCTTAAACAATCAAATTACACCTAGGCACCTACCAAACCATGTGTTGAGAGGATAAAGGGAGGTGTTGCACAACACTGTGCTGTGAGTGTGTGGATGTGTTTTTATAAATTTATTTTAATGATTTGAACCATTCATATTATAGAGTTCATTGAGTAGATCATTTATGAAAAAAATCATGTCAATTAAACATGTATAACTCATAACAAGACTACATTTATTTTTAAAATCAATTATAATCCAATCATAGAGTTATACATGTTCGATTAATCTTATTTTTTATATGAATAATATGCCCAACAAATTTTATAATATAAATAATTTGAATTATTAAAATAAAATCAAAACGAATTTCAATCAAAACATCACAATGGGTGATGTGAAAACACCCTCCCTTTGACCGTGTTGAGACCCCAACTGCCCTTTTTATGTTGTAGTTGGTTATAAAATATGATCAGTTCCGTCATTAATATAGAAATCGATTATGAAATGGGATATAAAATTATATGAATGGACAAAATTTTATGAAATTTAACCATAAGGGATTGGTCGAGTGGTAAAAATTTTGAGTTCGATTCATTCTAAGGAGTCACTAGAAGTTTGTCCAATCGTTAACTTGAGAATTTCAGGATTAATCGATATATGTGCAAGCTAGCTCCAACACTTGATTTACAAATAAAAAATAATAAATTAAATTTTATTGGAGGTTCCTTCACATCTAAAAAATTTTATTGTTGGGAAATCTTGAAATTCAATTTTTTATTATTATTATTATTATTGTTATTATTATTTTGAAATGGGGGAAAGTCAAATTAAAAAATTTAAGATAAATTACATTTTTAATTCTTATAATTTGATTCGAATTTTCAATTGAACAGTTTTTTTTGGGTGAATAAAATTGAACAGTTTCATCAGCATATTTTAATTTAATATTAATTTGGTCATTATGTTGTGATTGAAGGTTGCAACTAATGTTTTTGAGACAATTATCAGCTTTTTTAGGCGTACACGTCACCAAAAAAAAAATTAAAATTAGACTTAAAAGGTAGAAATTAAATTATTCAAATTAAATTAATAGAAACTAAAATAAAATTCGACCAAACTATAAGGATGAAAAATATAATTTATCAAAAAATTAAATACGGCAAATTTCACTTTATCCATGTGATTTGGGTCACGTGTTGTTTATCCTCATAATGTTTAGAAATGATAGCATAATCCCCATGCGATTTGTTGACTACAGTGCACCGTTAAACTTTTCGTCTAACTTAATAACAAGTGTGAAATACGTGGCAAATACAAAAGGTTATATACCCATTTTCAAATTTTAATGGGATACATCGCACATGAAAAGGGTTAAAGTACACTTCACTTTTCAAACAAATGACGAAAATATATAAATATTTTAGTTTTTTTCATTAAATTATTAATGGTTCTAACAGTGCACTTCAATTTACAAACCATAAAAAAGTTATGTGATTATTTTTAAATATTAAAGGGATAAACAACATATGACCTAAATGACATGAGAGTAAAGTAAAATTTGCCCAATTAAATATATAATTTAAATGCCACTCAACTACGCCGTTAGAAGCAAGAATACCAGTGATTGTCGTTGGTGCAAGGCGTATGCAACCACATTTTTAATGAATGTTATAAAGTAAACCATTTTTTTTCATCTTCTTTAAAGTAGGGTGCATTTAGTATTGTGTGAGTGAAAATTTGACCACACTTTCCGTTTAGTGATCAACTGGAGAGCACAGGCAGAATAGATGGCTTCAGCAACCTGAAACAGAAAGAAAAGATTCTGGCGGTGGTTCTTCCACCCGGGGGCACTCCGACGATCAAGTCAGTATATCTCTCAAAGATAATCAAGTGTAAAACTTAATACTCAAAACATAAATTGCATACCTTAGACCCACGGGAGTGCCTCTCTTTTATAATATACTCAATCCAAGTCCTACTAGAAGTATGACTTCTATGAACTCCAATTTAGTACTTACTTTGGACTCTTTAAGAGATAAAGATAAACTCCCTAAGAGCTTTATCCTTATCTTGGTTAAGTCCCCTCTTCGTCTTAGGACTCTTGTCCATTATTCGTTTATCTCGGATTCCGATATCTTGGGAGTTAACCTCGGCCTCGCCGAAGCGAAACGGCTCGCCGAAGCGAAACCGATGCAACAATGGGCCGACCAAACAAGAAACAGAGTTGAGAAGTAAACAGGCGGTAACGACGGTATTCCGGATCCCAATTCATAAAGTCTTAGATCAAATTCGAAAATGTGAGAATCACAAGCTATTATTGAATAAGTTTTGCTTGTTTCAATAACCATTTAGAGCCATCCAAGATTGTGCCAAAATCAAATCTAAAAGGACGAAGGCTTATGATAAAACATGAGACAAAAAATATTAAAAACAGAGCATCCTGAAACTCATCTTTTACCAAAAACATATCCCCTTAAATCAGTCAAATTACATAACTAGGATTTCTACAAATCCAAAATTTTAACCAGAAATTTGTCCAGAAAATATAATATATGATGGAGATTTATTTTAGCGGGATTTACAAATGAGTGATATTTTTTCAAAATAATTATAGACTCGTGAAAAAGCTTCATTACTTCCATCATTAAAATTTAGGGTAAACTATCAATAAGTTCTAATAGTTAGATTTTATTCTCATAAAGTCTTATTGAAAATAATTTTGGATAAAATTATCGCTAAAAATTGACAATTACTGACTTTTTTTTATTATGATTTTTATAAATTGTCGCTAAAACTTATAATTAGTGACTTTTTTTATGACCAAATTTTTTCATAAAATCTATTAGACAATAAGTCCACTTAGGACCTACACGTAAGTACTCCTAAAATTTATATTTAATTTTTTTTTTTCAAACATATACTGATTTATTATTTTTCTTTTATTTTAAATATAGAGCCCATCATTCAAAAATTAAATCTGAACCATTCATCAAAATTTTAGATACAGATTTGAACTTCTGATATATTAAAATTTTTGTTACATAACCCCTTTCACCATCTAAACTAACCATCTCTCTCTCTCTCTCTCTCTCTCTCTCTCTACCCTATATTTTGTGCACCATCCTCAGGCCTAAACACAATTAATATGAATTAAAGAAACCTGTCACCTTCTCTTTCCATTCCATTATATATGAGGGAATGGCTCCAATCCAAAAACCAACAACACCGAACTCACACAGAATTGGACGACTCATTCCCTCTTCTTCATTTGCTCAGCAAAAGTAATCACACTCTTCACTATTATACTCATAATTTCTATTCTTATTTCCTCATGTTCTTTATTTTCACTTCACTGCTATTTTTTTTTTTTTTTTTTATATATAATGATTGTTTCATTGTTTTTTTTAATCTAGGTTGATAATACATAGATACTACAAAAAAGTTAATATGAATCATCACAAGGCAGACACAGACAGTGATCCAAAGCTCGATTTGAAGCTGAACTTATCACCTCCAAGTCCATACCCACCACAGGTAGAGTCCCCAAACGGTTCAGTTTCATTTTCCTCCATGGAAATGTCTCCTATAAGCTCATGCGTGTCGTCGGAGTTCAGCCTCAACCCTGACAATGGCTCGCTTTACTGTACCAGCAGTCCTGAGCCCGCGAAGCCGATGATGCTGGCGGGGTGCCCTCGGTTTTGAACTATAATATAGAATGTTTGGTGCTATATATAATGTGTATATATATGTGATGTCTAAAAAAGATATATGGTAAAAATTGGACATTTTCAAATTTAACACATCTTCCTAATTCATCAATTTATCAATTGCTATATATTTTGGACCAAATTGCCTCAAAAATTAAATATATTTTACTATAAATTATTTTGTTCTTGAAAATATATTTATTAGTGCTATTTTTAAAATTTTATCACTAATTTTTTTTTTTAAGTTTTTAAAACAATCTTATCCTCGCAATAACAGGAATTAATTGCCAAATATTTTTAACAATAATTTTTTTACTTTTAAAAACTAAAGAGTTTGATTATTAAAACTCTTATATATTGCGTGCACAAAATAATTTAACACGTACTCTCCTAAAAAAAGAAATTATTAAACTATTGTATAAGTAAGTCTCAATCTACCATATATATATATCACCACCTTATATATTGTGTGCACGACTCTCTTAAATAATTTGGTACATGTAACACCATCGTATATATATATATATATATACTATCGTTTCGTATGTTACTATCTTGAACCATGAGAGCTTGTTGGAGTAGTAAGTCATAATCCACCATCTCTCTCTCTCTCTCTCTCTCTCATAATTTATTTTTGTAGGGAGGCACTGCCAGGTAATTTGGAAAAGCCTCTCGGCCATGCGCTGAAGAAGCCACAACATTCTGTATCAACAGTAACTCATTCAATGCCTCCAGAAAAGATAGAGTTGTTCAAATCCTTGGAAGACTGGGTTACAACAAATGTGTTGATTCACCTAAAACCAGTAGAGAAATGCTGGCAACCACAACACTTTCTTCCAGACCCGACATCGGATGAATTCTTAGAACAAGTGGTGGACCTAAGGGAGAGAGCAATGGGGCTGCCAGACGATTATTTTGTAGTATTGGTCGGAGACATGATCACTGAAGAAGCTCTTCCAACTTACCAGAGCATGCTTAATGGGTATGATGGAATTGGGAATGAAACAGGGTCAAGCCCCAGTCCTTGGGCTGATTGGATAAGGGGATGGAGTGCTGAAGAGAACAGGCATAATGTCATTTATGAATTGTGAAAATATGAAATTGTTTTAGTATGAATTTTAGTCTCATTGAATTGTTTGGCTAGGTTCTGAGCCATGCAATATGAAATGATTTTGATAAGTTACGGAGAAATGAAATGTAACATGGACTTGTTTGTCATGGAACTGTATTGTGAGATAAATTGGTTTATAAGTGTTAACCTCCTATCAAATACTATTGTTTTAGTCATTGCTTATATTTGGTTTAGCATATCTCTACTGGGCTGTGGTTCACCCTTCATGAGACTTCATTTTCAGGTCTAGGTGATATGCCACCTCTAAGGATTTAGCTTGGAAGGTTCTAAAAGTTAAAGACTATTTATTATTTTGTTATCTTTGTTGTATTACATATACATTCATGCCAAGGGCTTTTTATGATATGAGTTAATACTCTCTTTTGTGTAACCAAGTGTTGGCTTGGAAAGTTGTAAGCCGTTGAGTATTTACTTTTGTTTTCAACATGTAATACGTTTGTAAGGAATACTCTGATGAATGGAATTAAGTTCTATTTACTTATGTCTATGCATGTCTATAATGTGGGTTTCTAAGCATTATTTTGAGGGCGTTACACGAATCGTTCACTTTTTAAGACTCGTTAAGTAGAATATTCATGTAAAATATCAAGATGATTTGATATCGATAGTTATATGTTTAAATTATATTTGTTTTACAAAATGGACGATGAATATAATTTCAAGAACAACTATACATTTTTGGTGGTGCTACATGGACCAATTAATATACATACTAGTGTACTAACTAGTGTTATGTCATTATTACTAACCCTACATGTTATACAAATCACAAGTATCTAAAATTTCTAAAATTATGCCACATCATCTGTTAGTATACTAGGTAATACATTAATTGGTATATATAACATTATTCATACATTTTTTGTAATACAAATTTAATCTAAACTCACATCAAACTTTCATCAGCTCATGCAGCTTCTGTGGAGATATGACCCTCACAACCAAACAAAGCATTGAGGAGGAATCAGTTTGGTGTTTAACCATCCAAAGCTGATCATATTTTAACCATCCAAAGTTGTTTGCATACCCTAACAACTATAAACTCCACCCAGCTGATATCAGCCCAGCATTTCCTCTGCAGAAACATAAGCATGACAACTACAGCCTTCCCCAAACAGCATATCAGATCCCCATAACCCTCTGCAGCCCACTAAAACAGATACAGCATCAGGCAGATCAGAACTCCCCCAGCACCAACAGATCAACTTGGAAGCTCCCACACTTTTAAGATCATCTGGGCTTGAAGTTCCATTCCACACTACCACTGCTGAGATCTATACCAATCCCCACACAGATTCAGAGCAAAAAGCAGCACTCAGATTGAATCTAAGGAGGAAACCTGAGGAGGAAATCTGGACAGCAACTTGACAGCAACAATGACCCACTGCTGATAAATCTAAATTCCACACTACCACTGCTGATAAATCTAAACCCAACCCTGAACTAGCATCACACTGACCCCCAGAGCAGGCCACAAAGATACAGAGCCCAAATTGAAGAACTTCCAACCTGCAGCCTACTGTGATGAGCCAGCCATATCTCCGACCCCTCAGACCTCCTGAAAACCCAAGGGTGGTCCCAGCAACTACCATACCTCAAATAAAGTGCCTCACTTCTTTTATGTTTGACACAATCTCATGAATGGTGAGGCAACACCCCACATTAACAGATTTCAGCCACATGGCCACTCGAATTTTAATAAGCTCACACAACACATCTGCATCAGGCTGCGTGTTATTGAATAAACAGTCATTTCTATACGTCCATAGGGACCAAATAGTAGAAATAAAAACAGCCCTCCACACTTTCTTTTCCTTTTTCCTGAGCTTCCCTCCCAACCACCATTGCATTAAGCCTTCAAAAGACCCTGGTAACACCCATTGAATTCCCCACCAGGCCATGATACTTGACCAGACATGCCATACAAATGAGCAGAATAGGAAAATGTGATTAGAGGTTTCCTCCTCAGATTTAAGCTTGAAACCATCAAATTTGCAATGAGGTTTAAGCTTGATTACTGCACTCAATAGTAGCCAACCAATGGCATATTCCTCCGCTTGAATTCTCAAGTAATGAATTTCGCCTTAGGAGGTGCTAAGTTGTTCCATACCAAATCTGGGTAACTTAGGGTAGGTTGAACACTATGTTTACACCAGCTATACACGGACCCAACTGTGAATGTACCTGACTGTTCAGCCTTCCACCTAATTGAATCCCTTTGACTAGCCATGAAGCATGGACCTCCTCCCAGCAGAGATTGCAGCCTGATCACCTCTTCCTCCTCCCATCCAAATAGAGGCCTTCTAAAATTGAGATACCAATTGTTGCTACTGTCTCTGCAATCACTTTGCATCTTCAATGTTATCTCCTTGTTTAGACTCAACTGGTACAATCTTGGAAACTGTAGTTTAAGGCTTGATGTTCCCAGCCAATTGTCCTGCCAGAATTTGATCCTATTCCCATCACCTAACCGAAGCTCCACATTATCCAGAAAAAAATTATGCAGCCGAGGATTTAAAAAAGACACATCAAGGACCTGTCTCCATGTAGACGAAACAGAAGCCGAGGCATGCACTGGAGGAAACCATTGGCCCCCCGATACACCATACTTGGCAGCAATTACAGACTTCCACAAAGCGTCATCTTCCAAGGCATATCGCCACCACCACTTAAGAAGCAAACAGTCATTTGTTAATCTGATGTCTCTGATACCCAGGCCTCCTTGCTTCTTATACAACTGCACCTCTTTCCATTTTACCAAATGAATTTTCCTTTTAAGCTCGTCCCCTCCCCATAAAAACCTTGCTTGAATCCTATCTAGGTCCTTAGCCACACACACAGGTATCTTGAACAGAGACATATAATAAACAGGTAGGGAAGATAGAACAGATTTGATGAGGGTGACCCTTCCAGCATAGGATAGCATCCTTCGCTTCCACCCTGATAATTTCTTTTTATACCTATCCACTACTGGCTGCCAAGTTTGCTTACGACATGGGTTGGCTCCGAGAGGCAACCCTAGATACTTAAAAGGTAATTTATGACTCTGGCAATTGAGTAATTCTGCAAACTATTGGAGGTTCCTTCACATCTAAAAAATTTTATTGTTGGGAAATCTTGAAATTCAATTTTTTTTTTATTATTATTATTATTATTATTATTATTATTATTATTATTATTATTTTGAAATGGAGGAAAGCCAAATTAAAAAATTTACAATAAAATACATTTTTAATTCTTATAATTTGATTCGAATTTTCAATTGAACAGTTTTTTTTGGGTGAATAAAATTGAACAGTTTCATCAGCATATTTTAATTTAATTTTAATTTGGTCATTATGTTGTGATTGAAGGTTGCAACTAATGTTTTTGAGACAATTATCAGCTTTTTAAGGCGTACACGTCACAAAAAAAAATTAAAATTAGACTTAAAAGGTAGAAATTAAATTATTCAAATTAAATTAATAGAAACTAAAATAAAATTCGACTAAACTATAAGGATGAAAAATATAATTTATCAAAAAATTAAATGTGGCAAATTTCACTTTATCCATGTGATTTGGGCCACGTGCGGTTTATCCTCATAATGTTTAGAAATGACAGCATAATCCCCACGCGATTTGTTGACTACAGTGCACCGTTAAACTTTTTGTCTAACTTAATAACAAGTGTGAAATACGTGGCAAACACAAAGGGTTATATACTCATTTTCAAATTTTAATAGAATAAATCGCACATGAAAAGGGTTAAAGTACACTTCACTTTTCAAACAAATGACGAAAATATATAAATATTTTAGTTTTTTTCATTAAATTATTAATGATTCTAAGAGTGCACTTCAATTTACAAACTATAAAAAAGTTATGTGATTATTTTTAAATATTAAAGGGATAAGCCGCATATAACCTAAATGACACGAGAGTAAAGTAAAATTTGCCCAATTAAATATATAATTTGAATGCCACTCAACTACGCCGTTGTAAGCAAGCATACCACTGATTGTCGTTGGTGCAAGGCGTATGCAACCTCATTTTTAATGAATGTTTTAAAGTAAACCATTTTTTTTCATCTTCTTTAAAGTAGGGTGCATTTAGTATCATTTTATTTTTTATTTTTTTGTGGTCGAACATAGAAAATTCATAAAATCAATATGAAACACTTATCCTATATTTATTTAATTTTTTTTAAAGAAATTGTTCATGTAAAAGCAATGAATTACAATATTTACTCCAATTCCCCTCCTTGAGATCTGTTTCTCCAGCAGGCACAAAATTTACTTTCATCTTCATCCCTTCGGACTTCGGGGACAATTGAATTCTCCGTTCTCAAATTATTATATCTTTTATGATCTAATATATTATTAATAATTATTAAATTATGTGAGAATCACAAGCTATTATTGAATAAGTTTTGCTTGTTTCAATAACCATTTAGAGCCATCCAAGATTGTTGCTTGTTTCAATAACCATTTAGAGCCATCCAAGATTGTACCAAAATCAAACCTAAAAGGACGAAGGCTTATGATAAAACATGAGACAAAAAATATTAAAAACAGAGCATCCTGAAACTCATCTTTTACCAAAAACATTTCCCCTTAAATCAGTCAAATTACATAACTAGGATTTCTACAAATCCAAAATTTTACCGGAAATTTGCCCAGAAAATATAATATATGATGGAGATTTATTTTAGCGGGATTTACAAATGAATGATATTTTTTCAAAATAATTATAGACTTGTGAAAAAATTTCATTACTTCAATCATTAAAATTTAGGATAAACTACCAATAAGTCGTAATAGTTGGACTTTATTATCATAAAATCCTATTGAAATTAATTTTGAATAAAATTGTCGCTAAAAATAATTTGTTTGTGACAATTTTTTACATATGTCGCTAAAAATTGACAATTAGTGACTTTTTTGTTATGATTTTTATAAATTGTCGCTAAAACTTATAATTAGTGACCTTTTTTATGACTAAATTTTTTCATAAAATCTATTAGGCAATAAGTCCACTTAGGACCTACACGTAAGTACTCCTAAAATTTATATTTAATTTTTTTTTTTTTCAAACATATACTGATTTATTATTTTTCTTTTATTTTAAATATAGAGCCCATCATTCAAAAATTAAATCGGAACCATTCATCAAAATTTTAGATACAGATTTGAACTTCTGATATATTAAAATTTTTGTTACATAACCCCTTTCACCATCTAAACTAACCATCTCTCTCTCTCTCTCTCTCTCTCTCTCTCTCTCTCTCTCTCTCTTTCTCTCCCCTATATTTTGTGCACCATCCTCAGGCCTAAACACAATTAATATGAATTAAAGAAACCTGTCACCTTCTCTTTCCATTCCATTATATATAAGGGAATGGCTCCAATCCAAAAACCAACAACACCGAACTCACACAGAATTGGACGACTCATTCCCTCTTCTTCATTTGCTCAGAAAAAGTAATCACACTCTTCACTATTATACTCATAATTTCTTATTCTTATTTCCTCATCTTTTTTATTTTCACTTCACTGCTATTTTTTTTTTTTATATATAATGATTGTTTCATTGTTTTTTTTATTCTAGGTTGATAATACATACATACTACAAAAAAGTTAATATGAATCATCACAAGGCAGACACAGGCAGTGATCCAAAGCTCGATTTGAAGCTGAACTTATCACCTCCAAGTCCATACCCACCACAGGTGGAGTCCCCAAACGGTTCAGTTTCATTTTCCTCCATGGAAATGTCTCCTATAAGCTCATGCGTGTCGTCGGAGTTCAGCCTCAACCCTGACAATGGCTCGCTTTACTGTACCAGCAGTCCTGAGCCCGCGAAGCCGATGATGCTGGCGGGGTGCCCTCGGTGCCTCATGTATGTAATGTTATCTGAAGAAGATCCAAAGTGCCCCAAATGCAAGGGCACTGTCCTGCTGGAAATTCTTCCCGAGGAAATCACTGAGAAAACTACCAAGGAATGAGACTGATTTTAATCATAGTTTTAAATAACGGTATTGGGTATTTATCAGTATCAGTGATACAATCGTGTATATCAGTATCTGACGTTGAAAATCTCGGTACTCATATTTAAAACACTCATTCTAAGCACCTTGGTTACTTTCCCTTAATTACTAGTTTAGTTTTTTTTCGTTCTTTATGTTTTCTTACTCCTTTTGTTTTTCCTTTTGTTATTTTGTTATATGCTGTGTTTGGTTGAGAAGAAAATAGAAGAGAGGAAAGAAGCCTGTGAGAGTCGTTTGAGGTTGATTTTAGTGTGATTGTAAGATATTTAACTTGTACTCATTTTCGTTCATCTTCTCTGGAACGTACGTTTTGATCTTTAACAAGATTACTAGTTGTCTCTTTGGATCTGATTTGCTTTTTCATTAAGATGATTTAAATGTGGCACCTAATACTTTACACCGCAAAGTTATTCTAGTTAGTTGCTTTCATGCCACTCAATAGGTCATTTATTAATTAATCAAACACCCCTGCTTCATTTTCTTTCAAGCTTGAAAAAATATAAAAGACTAAAATAAAATGAAAGAAAGTTGTGTGACTTCTTGAAAGATGCTAGACATAAGATAAATTCGTTTGGGAACTTGCTATTTTAATTGTCTTTTTGACTTTTTAGTTATTTTATAAGATGAAAAAAATTATGTTTGGAATGATTTGTACACCTTTTTGTAGTTTAATATATGATTGTGAGAGAAAAAATAATTAATTGTTGTGTAAGATATAACATTTTATTTTATTGATTATTTTAGTTTTTTTTATTTTTATTGACTATTTTATCCAAAATCCTCTTCCCCAAACGGGGCCTATATATTTTACCTTCTCCAATTATCATATCGTTTTATCTACTTATGCTAGTTTGGAAATAGACTATTTTACTTGGCTTTTTAATTTTGTATCTTTTTTATCTACTTATGCCTTGTTTGGTTTAACTTTTTTATTTGCTTATGCCTTGTTTGGAAATAGACTATTTTAATTGGTATTTTAATTTTTTTAACTACCTAAAAAGTTGTGTTTGGAAAGATAAATGACTTTTTTTGTAATAAATTTGATGGTTGTGAGAAAAAAAAAATGATTATGATTTGGATATGACATTTTATTTTTTTGACTATTTTAATATATTTTATTTTTATTGATTATTTTAGTCCAAATCTAACTTCCCAAACAGAGTCTTCAAAAAAAAAAAATTATATTTTGTCAGCTTGAACTATCAATTTGAACAATGTCAACATTATATAAATACATCTTAAATAGTATGAAATGCATAAAATAAGTGTAAGCTTTAAAAAAAATAATTACAAATAAATGATAAATTTTTATATTTATTAATAATGAAAATTATAAATTTTTCTATGAACATACCTCTGAAATTAAAACTTGGTAATTTTCCTGTTTTCTTTTTTCCCTTTCTTTCTCCTACTAAAGCAACAGGCATAGTAGCCATAATGTAGATAGTTATGACTGTCTTACGATAAAAAGGAAGAGAAGGAGAGGAAAATAGAAGAATATCTTGTTATGTTAATTTTTCTTTCCTTTATGTAACCGATCGTGAACATAATGTTTATATTGATACAAACTAATAATTTAATGTGACAAAATTTAACATTTTTTGATTAAAAATAATAAATTAACATTGAGTAATAATTCAATTGGATAAAGTATAATTTTTCCTATTGTTGAAAGTGGTATTTTTACCATGAAGATTCAGAGTGAAAAAATAACAATGATATTAGCAGATGATATGAATTAAGTATTGTAATTTTTAGTTCAAGACTAAAATGACATGTGACAATAATTGAGGGGATAAAGTGTGATTTGCTTCAAAATTTATCCAAAAAAATAGTAAATACTCTAAATTTAACTCTTATATAATAGAACCTACAAAAATTTGAACCACGTGTACACACAATAATTTTTTCAAATAAATTTCTAGTCATTAAAATAATTCTAGCAACATTCTAGCAACACATAACCAACAATAGTGATGAAAATTACCTAAAAGTTTGAAAATGGTGTCATGGAAATCAACTCACATTTGTGGCCATTGACCTCATTAGCAAACCATATAAATGAATTAATAAGTTATCAATTTGGTGATGTTAGGTTTTCAATATATATATATATTCAAAAAGAAATCTAAAAAACACAATGTGTGATATAAATTCATTTTAAATGTGTACTTCATAAACTATTAATCAGTCCCAATAGTTGGACTAAATTTCCATAAAATTATATTGAAAATAAGCCTTAATAAAATTGTCGTTAAAAATAATTTTGTGTGACGATTTTTTGTATATGTCATTAAAAATTAATGATTAGTGGCTTTTTTTGTCACAATTTTTATAAATTGTAGCTAAAATTTACAATTAGTAACGTTTTTCTATGACGAATTTTTCAAATTGTCAAAGAAAGATGAAACTTAGCGACTTTTTTTGTGAAGATTTTTTTAAACTGTCGCTAACACTTAGTGACATTTTTGTGACAATTTTCAAATTATCACTGAAAATTAACAATTAGTGATTTTTTTTTATTAATGTTTAATGAAAAGCGTCATTAATTCTCACAAGACCTATTGGACAATAAATCTATCTATTAGGATCCAGAAGTAAATTCCCCCTTTTATTATGGAGAAGATTTTCCTCCAACTTATTATGTAGGAACTCCTATAACCCAAATAATGTTGCAACTTATGATTAGTCAATTGTTACACAATTTAAAACTCATTCACTCTTGTTCACTTTTCCATAAACTTCCTAATATGTTGGATACCAAATTTTAGAAAATATGCGATTTAAGAATGTTAGAGCATGTTTTTAAATCTCTATTTTTGAGGGGTTGTATAGGATTTGTTTATTTAGTACACCTTTTAATTTTTAACTAAAAGATGTGCAAAAAAATAAAGAAATGATTTAATCCAAATAAGTGCACTTATTTGGATTATCTCTAAACAACACCTAATTTTCTAAAAGAATAATATTATGCTTGAATCTCTAAAACAACCCTTAACATATTATTTTATTCTTACATAACCAAATAAAATGTATTAAAATTATTTCTCAATTGCTTGGTTTTAATGCTAAAGAACTTACGTGCTGAATTTTTTTCAACGAACGAAAACATTAGGTTAGATAATCAATCTTTGTTTCGCTTAAGATTTCTAGTCTTCCAAATTTTATTTTTTTTTTTTTTAACAAACTTTTCACTGCCTCTAAATTATGAAACCAATTTAATTATAGCATAGTTAACTCGTTCCAATATATCAATAGTATACAATGAGTAACACCTTATAATTGGTTGGTTGCTAGATATGAGCCTCTAAACTTTAGGAATATTTGAGAAATTTAGCCAAAACTCTCCAACCTAATTTATTTTACTTCATAAACCCCTGAAAGAGAAAATACATAATTAAGGACAAAGTAAAAAAATCTTCTTTATTTATGTTTTTTTTTTTGGACAACATGTTACTGTGAACCAGAGTAACATGTTACTATCAAATAAAATAATTGTCAAAAAGAGTAACATGTTACTGTTACTGTTTACATTAATTTCGACATTAATAATTTTTTTTTTTAAAGAATTGCATAGTCAACATAGATCTTATTTGATAAATCTTGATGAGAGAATTTTAAAAATACTAATTTTATTAAAAATTGACATATACATCAAAAGTTATATTATTTTAAAGTTTAATATTTTAATAATAATGGTATGTGTTGAACTTTTCAACAAAAACCTTTTTATGTTTGTCCTTAATACATTAAAATTTTATTATGAGGAGGTTTCGATCAAATCCCCTTATATTTTTCATAATAATTGTTTGAAAAATTCACTCTCTATATAGTTTAGTTTACAAGATTTATTTATTTATTTATTTATTTTAAGCTATAAAGTAGTTTGATGAAAATAAACACTAAAATATATTTTTCACCGCCAAAAAATGAAAACATATGTTAAAAAGATGAGTATTTTTTCCCCAAAATAATTTATTATTATTATTATTATCTTTCTAAAAACAGATTTTTTTTTTTTTTTTTGAAAAGTTAAATGAATACCATAAGGAAAGGTTTTATTTGGAATATCAATCATATTAAAAAATAAGGAAGAGTTGTTGCAGTTAATTTGGAAACAATTCTTCATATTAATTTTGCACGAGAAATATTTAACTTGAACGGAAAGTTTCTTGTGTGAATAAGAGTAATTTAGTTTTGAATTATATAACAATTGATCAATCATAAACAGGCACATCAATTGGATTGTAGGACTTCCTACGTAATAGGTTGGGAAAAAAAAAAACCTTCTCCTTTCATTATTCAAAATTTAAATCTAAATTTCATAATAAATTTTGTAGTCTTTATCTGTACTGTTACCAATTAACCACGGTAGGTGAGCTAATTTTGCTACTATTTTAAGAGCGAATATCAGATTTTTAATGAACCCTCTCCCTCAGATTCTTTCACAGAAGGTTGGTTCATAATAAATGTAAGTACATGTATTCTTCTTATCGGATTCTCATGCTTTGAGTTTAATTTTTTTATTAAAAATATTTGGGACCTGTTTTTTGGGATTCATGACCCCCAATTTGATCTTGACTATGTGTGGGGTCCACTCATGTATGTGTGGGCCCCACATTATGAGTGGTTGGGATGAAAGTAGGAGTTGTGGGGGTCATGTATATGTGGGGGTCTCTATCACAATTTTTTTTATTTTATTTACAAATATCACATGCAAAAAGAGAACTTTGAAATTTAAAACCGAATCCACAAAAATAATAGAGTTAATTATACTTAATACCTTATACTTTCATAAAATTCTCAATTTTCAATTGGGACCGTTAATTCTTTACCCTTTATCTCAAATTGCAATGTCAGCCTTTTTATTTATTTAATGTTAGTCACGTTTGTGAAAATTAAAAATGAATAACCAAAGTGAGATTTTGGTAAAAATAAAAAAAATTAAGGTGTGGTTTTGATGAAATGTAGGAATGTATGGTCATTTCTAGCGTTGCATAAGATCTTTCATCAAATTCAAATTTGATGAAAAATTAATGATAACAGTACTCTATCCGTTTCATCAGATTGATATCAAATGAAAAGTGCAGTATATTTTTCATCAAATCAAAAAAGTGTTTAACATTTCATCAAATTTCGTAGGTGAGTGTTGTAGACAACTTCCCGAATAGCCGAATTTTGGGATGAATTCAATAAAAACTTATTCTTCACGGTACAATCGACTTGACGACAAATAGAATTGATGAAAACTGTTGTATTGCATCATATCATATTAAATTTTTTATCAAATTTTTACTCAAATTATTAGAGATGCTTTGAGACAA